GGGGAGGGGAGGGGAGGGGAGGGAAGGGGCGGGCACGGGGTGTGTGTTCTTCGGAAATTACTTGTGTAGAATTCCCTGTGCCAGTTGCTAAGAAGTGAGGGGTATTATATATATATTTTTTGCCGGCTGAGGATGGGGCTGGGGAGAAAGAGGAGGGTAAGTACTTCTGCTTCGAAGGACCCCTCCCCAAAATGTGGGCGCTGGGCTCTTCGGGGTGGGTGAGTGGGTTAAATGGATGGGCTTTGTGCCAGGCTGAAGATATGGGTCTGTGTGTGTGTGTGTGTGGACGGAGGGGGATTTGGGTCTGGGGTCCCGCCTGGGCTGCCTTTAGGATGCTAGGGATGGGAGGGGCTCCGGTGGGAGGTGAGGATGACCTTGGGAGGGGAAGGAAGGAAGGGAGCTTGGGAAGAGTCGGGAGAAGGGAGAGCCGGGAGCCGTGCGTAACTCTCCCAACTTCGGGAGGAAAAACACGGAGGGGAGGAAAAGGGGTCCTTTGTGCCTTCAAACCCCCAGGGTCCTCGTCCGCTTTTGGCCTTGCCGTCAAATGGAGCGGATTTGGATCCCCCGTCAGATTTCCTGCCTGGCACACCTGGGCGGTTGACACTCTCACCTGATTTCTCCAGGTGGAATCTAGACCCAGCCAAGCAGGCAGGAAGCTCTGAGCCAGGAGGAGGGACACCTGCGGAAGAGTCTCTTTCTCACCTGCCATCACCCCTGGATGGCAAAAGGGGCAGGAGAAGTTGGCATGAGAATAGCCCCCGTTTCCCCTTCCCCTGGATCTGAGGAAGAGGAGATGGTCCAGACACAGGGAACGTCTGTCTGTCTGTCCCTCCACCTACCTATTACCTATCTGTCTGTCTGTCTCTCAATATTTACCTACCTATCATCTATTCATCTATCTCTGTCTGTCTCTGTCTATCAATATTTATCTCTACCTGTCCTTATTCATCTATCAATATTTACCTACCTATCATCTATTCATATCTATCTCTGTCTGTCTGTCTATCAATATTTATCTCTAGCTACCTATCATCTATTATCTATTCATATCTATCTGTCTGTCTGTCTATCTATCTATCTATCTATCTATCTATCTATCTATCTATCTATCTATCTATCCATCTCCATCCATCCATCCATCTCTACCTATCTAATCTATCTATCTACTTACCTACCATCTATCATCTATTCATGTCTGTCTGTCTGCCTACATACCTACCCACCCACACATCTGTCTGTCCATCTGTCTATCATCTGTTCCTGTCTGTCTATCTAATTATCTATTCATCTATCCATCCATCCATCCATTGTCTGTCTGTCCGTCCGTCCGTCCATCTATCTCCATCCATCCATCCATCCATCCATATCTATCTATCTATCTATCTATCTATCTATCTATCTATCTATCTATCTATCTATCTATCTCCATCCATTCATCCATCTATCTTATCTCCNAATAATAATAATAATAATAAAAAAGACCTTCAAAAAAATTAGGAAAGGGCATAGGAGGAAAAATTTGGATGCTTGGGAATATGTAGCTTCTTAGAAATACACATCAAGTAAAATCGAAAGATTGAAAAGACGCATATTGGCATAACTGAAACATGGGGAGATAAGCTTTTGTATGACCTCGAAGGATCTGGGGCTGTTGTTAGCGTCCCCCCAGATAATCAACATGCCATCCCTGGAAACCCTACTGCTAGCTATTCCACCTCAATCAGCAGCTGGGGAAGGGGCTAGGCTCCATGGCTTTTCAATGAAGGAATATGCTCCGGAGCTCTCGAGAGGGTGTGGCAGGCCTCGTGTGTTAAATATTGTGATAAAACCATACATTTGGGAAACTGTCTCCCAAGTTCAAGTCTAGAGGTATTTCTTCATTACTGTTGCCCTGTGCTGATGCCAGCTGAACTCTAAGCTAATTTGGAAGAGATTCTATGCAGGTTGGGGCAATTCAGCAGCAACTTGCCAGGAATTCAGATTGGCCAGCTCGGCTGCTCTGCACACTCTCCCCCCCCCCCACCCCAGACAATTCCCCTCTTGCTGTGCCCTCCCAGCTTCCCATGCCAGGAAAGCCCTTGCCAATCGCTTTTATTTTCCTTGGAGGGGGAGGGGGGGAAAGCACACAGAAGCTGCAAGAAATGCAAGAAAGAAAACTATTATTTTACCAAACTCCTGTATTAGGTGTGCTTTCTGATACTTTTTAACTTTGAAAATAGTTTTTCAAAAATTTATATAATTTAAACAGAAGCAAAAAGTTTGTTTTGAAAATGGGGGGAAAGGAAGTTACCCTTATGAGAGTAGCGTGCAGATACAATAGCCATAGCAGTTAGACTTATATACCGCTTCATAGGGCTTTCAGCCCTCTCTAAGCGGTTTACAGAGTCAGTATATTGCCCCCAACAATCCGATATATAGATGATAGATAGATAGATAGATAGATAGATAGATAGATAGATAGATAGATAGATAGATAGATAGATAGATAGANCTCCAGCTCGGCTTTCCAACACCTGGCGCTTGCTCCTTGGCCAAGGGCTCCACCTCCTGTTGGGGATGATGGATTTTGCAAATCCCAGCCTATCTGTTTGCAGGGCTTATGCATTTCAGAGCCCCTCCTAAAACAAGAAAGAGAAGACTCCGGCTCCCATCAATTTTGGGGTGGAGAGCCAGGAATGCACCCCAAAAGAGAAAAAAATTCATTCCTGGAGAAAGACCCTTGCAAAGGACGGGAAGGGTCTCTTCCCCACTCTGCTTTAAACCTCCTTTTTCTTGGGGCTGCAAAGCAGAACATAAGCTCATTTTTGGGGTGGGAGACGTCCCAAAACGGTAGCGACGAGGGTGGGATTCGAACCCACGCGTGCAGAGCACAATGGATTAGCAGTCCATCGCCTTAACCACTCGGCCACCTCGTCTCACGGAAGAAGGCTTGCTCTCCACCTGGTCTATGCTGGCTTGCTGGCTTTGCAAACCGTGATTTGCAAAGAAACAACACTTTTGCAAAAATAATAATAACAATAATAATAATAATTGGGGTGCATGTTCGTGTTTCTGCTTTGGCGCCCCCCTTCTTCTTACACCCCCCTTCTTCTTACACCCCCCTTCCCCGATCCTTGCAATCCTCCCATTGCAAACCCTCTCCAGCCTCCCCTCCTCATGCAAACCCCCCCTTTCTAAAGGGGGGGGGGTCAGCAAAGCCCACCCACTCCCTCCCACGCGCGCAAAAAGCGGGAGGGCATCGCGCCAAAGGCAACGGGGAGCCCGCGGGCGCTGCAAAAGCCAAAGGGGGCGAGGGGTATTTGAGGGGAGGAGGGGGGGGTCTGGCAGAGGCTGCTTTTTAATGCTTGCAGTACCTCCTCCCGCTGAGCAGGGGGCGCTAGAGACCACCCCCCCCTCCCACACACACACACTTTCGATTTGCAGCCGGCCGCGAGGCTGGTCCTGGGCAGCTTTTGCAAGGTTTTGCTCGCCTTTTTTTATTTTTTATTATTTTTTTTGCAAAGGGAAAGGGCGCCACGGGGAGAGCCAATGGGCCAAGCTTGAGCCCTGGTCTCTGCACACCCCCCTCCCTTTGGCCCCGCCCCATGACCTGCTCCTGCTTCCAGGCGCTCCTCCTGGCGCTGGGGCTGGTGGCCGGCTTGCAATTGCTTTATTTGGCTCTGCTTTCCGGGTGGCACGGGCAGGAGCAGAGGTCTCGCTACGCCCAGCTCTTCCAGGCTCGCCATGCCTTGCCAAGCGACGGGCACAAGCAGAGGCTCAAGCCGGTGCTGGCCAGCGGAGGCACCCTGGATGCCAGCGGGCAGTACCGCGTCTACCGGGATATGTTACGGGCCTCTTGGGATAGAGAGGACCGGCAGGACGTGGTACTGGTCACTCACACCAGCTTGGGCAACTTGCACCACGCTCAGCAGCTGGTGGAGCGGTGGCACGGGCCAATCTCGGTGGCCCTCTTTGTGCCAGGCGCAGACGACGTGCGCCAGGCCACGGCAATGGTCTACGCCTTAGCCGTCCTGTGTGCCCCCCTCCGGCAGTGGCTTCGGCTGCACCTGGTGTGTCCTGCCAGCCAAATGGCTTCCTTCCCCGAGCAGGAGCAGGATGAGGGGCAGTTTGCCCGTCTCCGGTCCTGCGGGGATGTTTTCGCCAAGCTGGCACAACTAGGGGCTGGCCGGCGTAACTATGCCATGGAGGTTGCCAATGCTTCGTACCCCAACAACCTGCTGCGCAACGTAGCCAGGGAGGCAGCCGGCGGGCACTGGGCGCTGGTGGTCGACATGGACATGGTGCCCAGCGAGGGTCTGCGAGAAGATTTCCTGGCCTTGCCGAAAGCCACCGTGGAGGGGACGCCGCGGGTGTTTGTGGTGCCGGCCTTTGAGATCCGTCACACACACCGGATTCCGGCCAGCAAAGCGGAGCTGGTACAGCTGTATCAAGTGGGGGAGATCCGGCCGTTTTACGAGGAGCTGTGCCCCCGGTGCCAGGCACCCACAAACTTTTCCCACTGGCTGAACCTTCCCGTGGGGGGCTCCCTGCGTGTGGCCTACGAGGTGGCGTGGCGAGACCCTTGGGAGCCCTTCTATGTTGGTGCTACCTCAGTGCCGCTCTACGATGAACGTTTCAAGCAGTACGGCTTTAACCGGATCAGCCAGGTAACCAAGCAAGGAGAAAGATCAGGAAACTGGCAAAATCCTATGGTTATTGTTATTGGTTTGATGTGTAAGACCTATCATCTCTCTCTCTCTCTCTCTCTCTCTCTCTCTCTCTCTCTCTCTCTCTCTCTCTC